TTCTTCTTTTTGCTGCTTGGGGCGGCAAAAACCCTGGAGCCAGCCCTGGGTGTGGGAGGGGTGAGGGGTGCAGCAGGGGATTGGGGTGCAGTGTGTGGCAGGGGGCTCCAGGCAGGGGGTTGGGGTGCAGGAGGGGTGAGGGGTGCAGGGTGTGGCAGGGGGCTCAGGGCAGGGAGTTGGGGTGCAGGAGGGGTGTGGAATATGGCAGGGGGCTCTGGACAGGGGGTTGGGATGCGGGGTATGGGGCCCGGCGCCGCTTACCTAGAGTGGATCTGAGGTGGCAGCGACGCGCACCACAGCCAGGGCAGGAAGCAGCTGGAGTCCCTGGGGGGAGAGGGGAAACGGCACCTCGTGCTGCTCTTGCTGCTCATCCAGGTACCTCCCCCAAAGCTCCCATTAGCCGCAGTTCCCAGTTCCCATGGGAGCTGTAAGAGCACAGAGCCCTCTACTCGCCTCCCACCCCCCTGCCCGGGGCTGCAGGGACATACAGTAGTTCAGCCGCTTCCGGGAGTGGTGCGGGGCTTGCGGCGACACAGAGTAGGCGGGGGGGAGGGGCGCGGGGAGCTTGGTGGGCCGCATGAAAGAACCCCATGGGCCACATGGGGGCCGCGTGTTTGAGACCCCTGCTCTAGACTGAGTCAGATTTGGTTTAGTGTGGGATGTATGCCATGTGATCACTCTGCTGGAACAGTCCTCGTAAGGCTTTGTTAAAGGAACACTGCATTACAATATAAAAGCTACTCTGAACATTGCATCTGATTAGAAAGATGGAGTAAGGCCATGCAATGGTCTTTGAATAACTGGGGGTCCACCTGTGTGGAGCTTATTGCAGGATCAGAACCTAAATCAGGTTAAACAAAAAAGTATTTGTGAATTATATTTAACAATCAGACTTGGATCTGGCACCTTGAGGATCTGGCAATGCTGGTTGAGACACAGAAAATACATCTCATTAGAATGGATAGGAAATCTGAGATTTTCAAAATATAAAGGTTATATCTAGTATCTTATCAAGTCAGAGGCAATTTAACAATGGCTTAACTTCTCTTACATTAATAAATGTTTTAAAAACATATATCCATCACAAAATGTAGTTACAGAGTCACTTAACTGCCTTGCTCCTATAAGCCATGATCAGATGTTCAGGCTGGACGTACCTAAACCAATCATGGAGTGGGGCAATCTCAAGACAATTTGCATAATTCCCGTGTGTTCCAAAGCCGCCTTGACATGGGCCCCATGCAGATAGCCTCATCTCCAGCTGATTTCCTCCTGCAGGAAACTGGATTGGGCAAGTACTGGTTGTATCAGTACAGGCACTTCTTTTTAAGCCAAATTTCTTTCCTGCTGCTCTGTTCCACTCCCCAGCTGTTCTGAGTGGAGCAGCCAACTGATATTAATATGCTTTTGTGTCTAAGGGCTTGGCTACACTTGCAAGTTAGAGCCATTAAAGCAGCCCCAGGCGCCCTAATTCACCACCCATCCACACTGGCAAGGCACTTAGAGCACCTGGACTCTGCAGCTGGAGCGCTCCTAGTAATCCACCTCACGAGAAGCATAACGCTTGCTGCGCCTCGGCTGAAACGCCCCAGTGTCAGTCTGAACGAGATGTTGCATTACTGCGCTGTGCTTGGCCTCTGGAAACGTCCCATAATCCCCTTAAGTCAAGTGGCCACTTGGGGGCGCTGCGTAGGGCTCCAGAATAGGTAGGGATGGCCCTGTTCAACCGATAACTACAGTTTGCTCTTTGGTAGCTTCAGTTTGCTGCTCAATGAAGCCTTGGGTGTGTGGAAGCGGAGTGGATGTGAACAAGAGGATCAATGGCCTTGGAGAGGGGGTAGGGAAGAAGCAATGGGTCCGGGAGCAGTTTCAGGCAGGCTGTTAGGAAACAGGAAAGAAGGCTATCAGCAGAGGAAAAGACAGAAAGAATGAAAATCTAAATAGAGGCTGGGAGAGAGGGCCAAATTCTGTCGTCTTTACTCAGGCAAAACTTCTAGTGATTGCAGTAGTCATTAATTTGGGAATTGTTGAGGAAAAAATCCAATGGGGAGACTTGAGTAGGGACAGCCAATGATGCAAAAGACCCCACCACCCAACTGGCATGTACTCTTGTTCATGGCCTCCATTTCATTTGTGTTTTTCTGATTGTCTGCTACAGTGTTAACCTTTAGGCCCTGATAAGAGATTGAAAAATTGTTGCAAAATTTGTTCCATAAATAATTAAACTTTATCTCTAACAATGGAGTTATTCATTTACATTGTGTACAACGTGTTGAGTTTGCCCTCAGCCTTAAGGCCAGTCATCCTCAAGGGTTCCAAATCTTTTCCTTTGTGTCTTTGGAGAGGTGACTCAGCAGAATGCAAAGGCTGCTGTGAGCTGAGCAGGGTTAACAAAACTGGAAACTACTGAATGCATTGCAGGCTTAGTGCTGCCCCTTGTTGATATCTGAGATATCAGATGGGAAGTGAGACAAATGGGAAGCACAGGGTGTGAGTGAAGCCATCCCTGCATAGTCATTCCCCTAAGTATTCTGCCAGTTGGTGTTTATAGAAATGGTGGGGACCATGCATGCAGCTTCCTTTGCTTTAGCTGTAGATGTAGAACAGATTGGTGAAAAAGATGCCGAGTTACAGAGCAAGACCACAGCCTCATCCCAAAGCCACATTTAAACATTGTTGTATCAGGTACTGGCTTATAGGTGGGTGGCTGAGACTGGATAGCCTAGATCAGGGATGGGCAAACTTTTTGGGCCGAGGGCGACATCTGGGTGGGGAAATTGTATGCAGGGCCGGGGCAGGGGGTTGATGTGCGGGAGGGAGTGTAGGGGTGGTGGGGGGTGGTGTGCAGGAAGGGGCTCAGGGCAAGGGATTGGGGCAGAGGAGGGGTGCAGGGTGTATGAGGGGGCTCAGGGAAGGGGGTTGAAGTGCAGGAGGGGGCTGAGGGCGGGGTGCAGGAGGGGTGCGGACTGCGGGAGGGGGCTCAGGGCAGGGGGTTGGGGTGCAGGGTGCATCAGGGAGCTCAGGGCAGGGGGTTGGGGTGCAGGAGGGGGGCAAAGCCTTAGGGCAGGGAGTTGGGGAGCGGGGTGCAAGAGGGGTTCGGGCTCTGACCCGGCCCCGCTTACCTCCCAGCCAATGGGAGCTGCGGGGGGTGGTGCCTGGAGGCAAGGGCAACACATGGAGCCCTCTGCCCCCCACTCCACCCATGGGGGCAGGGACACGGTGCAGGCGGTGCCGCGGGCCGGATCCAAAGCCCTGAGGGGCCAGATCCAGCTCGCGGGCCGTAGTTTGCCCACCCCTGGCCTAGATCCCATCATGAGGGGATAGTACTTCAGGCTCCGGCCAAAGTAGTTTATCCAAGTACATCCTACAGATCTGCTCAGGCTATAAGGCCAAAGTGAGCGTCAATAGGACTCGGCAGGGGGGTACTGGTGAAGGTGGTTGGGACTCAATGGTGGGGTCTGCATATGGGGGGGAACGGGGCTCAGCAGTGGAGTCTGAGTGTGGAGGGCTCAGCAGGAGGGTCCAGGTCTGGGGGCTTGGGGCTTGGTGGGGTGGGGATCTGGGTGTGGGGAGCTTGTCAGAGTGGTCCAGGTGCACAGGGAGTGTGGCTTGTCAGGGTGGGGGGTTGAGTGACAGGGACTCAGCGGGGGGTAGTCTGGGTGCAGGGGTGGGGGTCTGGGTTCAGGTGCAGAGGTCTCGGTGTGGGGTTCTGGGTGCAGGGGATCGGACTTGGTAGGGTGGAAGTTTGGGAATGGGAGGTTTAGGGGGGGTTCTGGGTATGGGGGATCCAGATGCCAGGGGGTTCAGGCTCAGCAGGGTGGGGGTTCGGGTGCAGGGGGCTTGGTGGGAGGGTTCTGGGTGCAGGGGGGGTGAGGCTCATGGGAGGGGTCCAAATGCATGGGGGTTGGGTAGACGGGAGGTGGGTCTGACCCAGCCCCAGGTGGGTGTGACCCAGCCCCGGTGTGAGCATCCCTCCACAGCGATTTACCTGTCCGCTGGCTGCTCTGGGTGCCTGAAAGGACATGTCCGTGCTGCTGTGGAGGGGCATGTGACTGCTCTTGTGGCTTCCCTTTGCTTCCCCATCAGAAAGTCATTTTTTATCCAGGGAAGCAAAGAAATCTGCGGGGGACATGAATTCTGCACGCGCACAGTGGTGTGGAATTCCCCGATGCGTAAAAAATGGTTAAAGAGTGTTGAAGCCTCAGGAAATTGATTATAGGGAGAAACCTGCTTAGGCAAAGATTGTAACTGGCTGAAATTAAGTTTTAGTTTAGAAGCACATTCTTACTTTTGTTTGTTTGTAACCCTCTCTTAACCCTTATTACTTCTACTTAGTATCACTTAACCTATGTGGCTGATGTGTGGTAGGCACACTGCTGGGGTCAGGGTGCTGAACTAGATCTGCAAAGTATACAGACACTCAGAGGACTGCCTGCTTGTCTGCTAGCTGTTGGTGTCTGGGTTGTAAACCACATCAGTAGAGCATTTAAGGCACCCAGGGTTATAGGACGGGCAGTGATATAAACACTTACTGGTTTAGATTGCATCCCTGAATATCACAGTGGCAAAAAAAACTGTCACTGCTGCCTTATTCCTAATAAATCATAATTTAAAACAGCAGATCAATAAGACAATGCCAGTTCAGCATTAACTCCATGATTCCCTATGAAACAGTTCTCTCTCCCATTCAATAAACCGACAGAGGGTACTCTTGCTCCACTGAGCCCATAGAGGGCTTGTATGAGTCAAGCCCAGATATCTAGGTCATGATTACCTCTCTCTTCCTCATGTGCATCTACATCACAAGACTCTCAGCAATATTTACAGTATTGGCAGGTAAAATTCAAAATCCCCCCCTTGAAATTAAATACTTCCTTTTTAAATAATTTTCCTTTGCTGTATTTGTCAGGCAACAAGAAATCTGAAAACATGGCTGGAAAACCCAAACTGCACTACACTAAAGGAAGAGGTAAAATGGAATCTATCCGATGGCTGTTAGCAGCAGCTGGGGTTGAGGTTTGTACTTCTTATAAAGTAATCAAATTAATCAATGGTTGAAATGACTGTTCTATTTTGAAAATATGACTAATGACTAGTTAGCGCCATCTCCTAACACACACGTGATTACATCAATGTGTACAAGAGTCACAAAAAGCTGGATGTAAATTCTGCATGTCAGTTCTCGTATATATTACTTACACGGTCCTAATAGTATTCAGTACGGATATTAGTGAAACTGGCATTTCGTGTCCTGTAGAATATATTGATTTCATTCGTTGCAATAACAAGGGTTTCTATTTCCAAAGAGAAAATATCCTTGGCTGTCGTCTTGTTCAGAAAAATTAAACTGAAGAGATCTTGGATTGTTGCTGCTGTTCAAAGTCAGGAATTTCTCCAGGTTCTTTTGAATGTTTGATATTTGCAATTGCCTCTCATTCACTCTTGCTTTAAAGACCCAGTCACATCACATGAATAACTTTGAAAAACATTTTGTTTAGAGATAATTTTGCATACTTTTTTTCCAGATCCTCAAACTTGTATAAATTAGCATAGCTCTCTCGAAGCCAGCCAAGCTACCCTGATTCACATCAAGCAAAAATGTGGCATGACTTAATTTCTGTGGTGAATTTTTGCTTGAAAGCATTGTCGTCATTTCCTAGGAATTCATTTTCCTCTTTGGCTTTCTCAGCACTTGGAGTGAAAAATCTTTATAACTTTCAGTGATGTATGTTACTGTGAGAGATAAGCTGCTAGAGAACAAGTTATGTAGCAACAAAGATCCTATTCTCATTCAAATGTCTTTTATTTTTATTTTTGAAATCAAGGCAAGAAACATAAAGGCAGAATTGTATCTTGTAGTTTCTCAACATTTTCCATGTGGCATCAGCTGCTTTTTAAATAAAATACCCAAAGGCAAATATCCACTAATAGTTCATTCATGATCCATGAAATGTAACAATCAACCCCCTTTATTTCTGTTTTCCAGTTTGAAGAAGAGTTTGTGGAAGCAAAGGAAGACTTGGAAAAGTTACGCAAGGGTGAGTCTATGGCCTAGTCTGGACACAAACTTGCACTGATTTAATTTAAAGATATGGTTTTTAAACTTGTGCAAGTTTGTGTCTAGACCAGTGGTTCTCAACCTGTGGGCCTCTTGTGGCTCAGTCAGTACACAGCTGTGACCCATGTGACATCCTCAGTGCCATAACTAGGGTGGGGCAGGAGGGGCACCTGCCCTCGGGGGTGCAAAACTAGGGTGTTGCAACACCAGGCCCAGGTGTTAGCTCCCCCCTCCCACCCCAGTAGGATTGTGAGGCCAGTGACCCTGGCTGGAGCAGGCTCCCTGGCACTAGAACTGCAGGGTGCAGGGTGGGCTGCAAAGCTGAGCTACATGCAGGTGAGATGGTAGACCAGCAGGTGTGGAGAGGGGGATGCAGGGGGCTAGGGCTACAGGAGGGAGGTACAGGGGGCAGGAGCGCGGGGAGGGAGTGCAGGGGGCTAGGGCTTCAGGGATGGGGGTGCCGCTGGTGCATGGAGGACGGACTCTAGGTGGCTGGGGCACAGTCTCTGGATGGGGGCTAGATACTGGGGCACAGTCCCTGGATGTGGGGGTTGAGTGCTGGTGGGTAATCCTTGGGGGCGCTGGGGCAGGTGCATGGGGGGTAGTCCTTGGGGGAGGACCTTTCTGCCCTGGACAGGGCACTCTGTCTCTGCAGGGCAGGCACGTGTGCAAGCCCGGTGTTTGGGGGCTCTGGCTGCTGGGGGGACAGTCCCAGGGGGGTTGGGTGATGGGGGAGCATTCCCTGTCTGTAGGAGCAGCCCCTGGGTGGTGGGTGCCCTGCACCGGGCAGGGCTCCCCATCTTTGCAGCCAGGCTCCGCAGCCGTGCTCTCCGGGCACTCAGCCCAGCTACGCTATGAGCAGCAGAGTGGAAGTGAGGGTGGCAATACACCATGCCATGCCACCCTTGCGGTAAATTAATTCATTTTAACAGTTTGATGTTTTGCCTTACTTTGCTAATTTAAAATGCTCTTGGTAGATATTTGTCAGTGTTGAAAAGAAAGGTACTATATCGATTTGCATTGTATTGCTGTCATATAACAAATACTAAACCATATTTTTTTGTAGATGTACAGGTAGTATATATATAGGGTGGATGTGGCCCACATAACACACAGAGAGCTGCATAGGTGACCCACATTGGTAAATAGGTTGAGAGCCACAGTCTGGACAGTCATATTTTAAAAACTGCTTTCTTCTATTTGGCTTAATCTGGATTGTCAATGGAAGGGGAGTTTTGTTCAAGAGATAACTTCTCTAATGCAATGTGGCCTGCATGAGAGGTGTACTGCATATTCCTTCACTCTGGCAATAGATGCTTAGGATCTCTGAAATATAACTGGAAATGTCCATGTAAATTATAAGGCATTTTCTCTCAGATCCATGCAATGATACAACAGTTTGTGAGGACTGAGTGACTTAACTTCTTTTCCTTTCCAAAGATGGATCCCTGCTGTTTCAACAAGTGCCCATGGTGGAAATTGACGGGATGAAGATGGTGCAGACCAGAGCCATTCTCAACTACATAGCAGGGAAACACAACCTCTATGGGAAGGACCTGAGGGAGAGAGCACTGTACTGTAACAGCACTACCTTCATTAAGATACACTGTCTTTATTTGAACATTTACCTAAAATAGAGAAGAGTACTGCTTTAAAATTTAACCCCCTTCTCCCCCACATGGATATTAAAATTATAAACCTGTCAATACACCACTGACATCTCAAACCCAGAGTTTTGATTTGTGGTCATTATCTACCTGGTAGATTCATACATTCCAAGGCCAGAAGAGACTATTGTGATCTTTTCTGACCTCCTGTATATCACAGGCCACAGAACCTCCCCAAATAATTCCTAGAGCATATCCTTTAGAAAAACATCCAGTCTTGATTTAAAAAGTGCCAGTGATGGAGAATCCACCATGACCTTGGTAAATTGTTCCAATGGTTACTTACTCTCACTGTTAAAATATTTACACCTTATTTCCCATTAAGAATTTGTCTAGCTTCAACTTCCAGCCATTGGATCATGTTATACCTTTCTCTGCTAGATTGAAGAGCCCATTATTAAATACTTGTTCCTTATGACTGTTAGTGAACAAATTGATGATACTGTTAAGACCCTCCACAGAGTTTCTTCAGTTACATAGAGACCAGAAGCACGTTAAATTCCTGAGGCAACTACCAATCCTTAATGGGATAATAATAAAGGCCTCATATGCCTTGGTGCTTACTTTGATTTCTTTCCTATTTAATGATAGCAATTCAGAGAACTTAATCTTTGGAGGCAGCCTGGGGTATGTTTGTGCCGGTTGGCCCAATTTAAAAACAGTCCATTGCAGCTGAAAACTTCTGTTCACTTTAAAAATTACCATAGATTGTATAGTGCATATGTACAAATAACAATCTCCTAAAGCAAAACAATTTCCTGATACTCTGTTGCTTAGACAAGGACTTCATTGTATAAATTCTAGTTTCACAGCATTAGCAGGGGTTCTCAAACTTCATTGCACCGCGACCCCCTTCTGACAACAAAAATTACTACACAACCCCATGATGGGGGGACCAAAGCCTGAGCCGGCCTGAGCCCCCACCGTCCTCGGGGAGGGGGGAGAGCAAAGCCTGAGCCCCATTGCCCTGTGCTGGGAGCTTGTACGCTGAGCCCCATTGCCCAGGGCTGAAGCCCTTGTGCTTTGGCTTCGGCCCCAGTAGGTGGGGCCCAGGCTCGGACTTCGGCCCCAGGCCCCAGCAAGTCTAAGCCAGCCCTGGCAACCCCATTAAAATGGGGTCACCACCCACTTTGGAGTCCTGACCCACAGCTTGAGAACTGCTGTGCTATAGCTTAACATGTTAGCAATGAAATTTTCCTTGTCCACCCCTCCTAATGAAGTCACAACAAAAACATCAGTGTTGAGAGAACATACTAAGTGTGCTTTCTCCTGAAAAGTAACTCAGTGGGAATCCTTTTATGGGATTCACTGTTTGTGATATCAATTATATCCAAATAAGTGTGCTCATTTTACGAGGAAAACCTTCTCCCCCACCCTCCCCTGCCCCGTGAACTCAGTTTCGGCTCTAACTCTTTCAGCATCATTACCAACACATTAATGATTCTGAAGGCTATATTCAATCCTTGACTAGAATAGGATTTATCATGTAAATCTAAGTTCCACCATTTGCTACCTATTCAGCATTATTGTTGTCAAAAACCTAAAGTGCTGGTTCTCAAAACGTTCAGTAGAGCTCTTGCTGGTTATATAGTGCTGGTGCCTCTTTGTTTCCTGCTACTAAAAAAAAATCTGCTAAAAATTGGAGCTGGTTGAAAGAGAAAACAAAGGTTGAAAACCTCTTCCAAAATTCCCATTTATCGTCAAAATTCAAAAAGTTTTTTTGACCAGCAGTGTAGCTGGTTGAAAAACAGGGAGGAAATTTTTCCTGTTTATTTTTTTTGAGTTTCAAAATGTAAACAGCTTTTGAATAGCACAACTAAAAATACATAGATATGTTCCTAATATTACTCTTCATGTAAACTATTGCTGTTCTTGCCACAGGGACAATCTCTCTGTTAATATGAGATCCATGCTATGAAAAAGGCTGAGAACCTCTAATCTAAAGTATTTCCAATAGTAAAGATCAAGAGGTCAAATCAATTTTGTTGTAGTGCAATGGCTGAGTTAGCCTCCTGAGTACTCCTGCAATTGCACTACAATACAATAACAAGCTGACTGGACAAAAGTCAAGTGTTCAGAAATAAATGGACTCCTCTAAATGGAAAATAAAAAACATTTGTTTCAGGATTGATATGTACGTGGAAGGAACAACAGATCTGATGGAAATGATCATGTTACTCCCTTTGCAACCGCCCGAAGCAAAGGAGAAGAATTTTGCCTTAATCATCGAGAGGGCCAAAACCAGATACTTCCCAGTCTATGAAAAGGTAAGTGGTAGTGAGATATGACAGACCATAAAGAAGAACAGTTTGTATGATGGTGTTTGCTGAAATTTCCCTTGTACAGGAGGAAATCTCCTCAGGGCAGGTGGAATTGTAGGACTCCAGGACCGCTCGGGGAGACCTCATAGAATGATGTGAAAAGGGGGCCACCAAACAGCCTGGTGCTGATTCTGCCACAGAGAGTCCCCAGTGACCTCAGTAGGACCACTCTCAGAGTAGGATGCAATTCACTGTGAGCAGGGATGGCAGAATCCAGCTCTTCTAAAGTAGTTTAGACTATGGTAACACAGTGTTATCGACTCTTCGCTAGCACCATGATGGTAGTGCATGCACATCAGTGGCTGGGATACAGTCATGAGAGCATATATCAGAGTATATTTTTTCCAAGGAGTTCATGTGTTTCTACTGTTCTGAATTAAATATAGTTGTGATTCAGAAGTGTTAATAGCTATTTATTTGTATTGTAATAGCCCCTAGTGGCTCCCGTCAGGATTGAGGGTCCCTTTGTCATGGTTAGGGCCCAACCAAATTCATGGCCGAGAAAAATGTGTCACAGACCGTGAAATCTCGTCTCCCTCATGAAATCTGGCTATTGTAGGCGGGTTGTGATATTGCTACCCTTACTTCTGCACTGCCTTCAGAGCTGGGTGGGCAGTGGCTGCTGGCTGGGCATCCAGCTTTGAAGGCAGTGCTGCCACCAGCAGCAGTACAGAAGTGAGGGTGGCATGGTATGGAGGTCATCATCTTGGGGGGGGTGGGGTGGCAGGACCAGCCTTATGGGTGGGCGGCATGGGCAACCACTTAGGGTGCCATGGTCGGGGGGTGCTATGGTCTCCCCCTGACACACACACAGACAGCCCAAGGCTCCTTTAGCCTCCAAGTGCTGGAGAGGAGCAGGGCTGGGGCATCCTGGCTGGGGGCTCTGACCATGTGCCAGACTCCTGCTGCTAGCCCCAGCCAGTCTGTGGAGGGACGGGACTTCCTCTTCTCCTGCATGGGCTGCTCCTGGGACTGGGTCAGACCCACCTCCAGCAGCAGGGCAGAAGTAAGGGTGACAATACCATACATATCCCTTGCTTCTCGCTGCTGCTGGCAGTGATGCTGCCTTCAGAACTGGGCTCCCAGCCAGCAGCCACTGCTCTCCAGCTGTCCATCTCTGAAGGCAGCGCAGCCACCTGCAGCAGCTCAGAAGTAAGGGTGCCAATACCGTGAGCCCCCTACAATAGCCTTGCACCCGTCCCTCCCATCCCTTTTTCGGTCAGGACCTCCACAGTTACAACACTGTGTAATTTCAGATTTAAAAAATCCTATGACTGAAATTTACCAAAACGGATCGTGAATTTGGTAGGGCCCTAGTCATGGTTACTAAAATTCCCATTGAAGTCACCCTGGGAGTAATGAGGAAATTTGTTTGAGTACATTTTTCAGGATTTGGTACATGAGTTCTATCTCTTTATTTACTTATTTTGAGCTATACACAAATATGCAACCTTTTCTAAAATCTTTGGGTACCATACAAAATATGCACACAGCAGCAGTTCATGGAGAGTTGACTGGAAGAGAGTTGTACAGGAAATGTCACACATAAAGCAGAAATGCCCAACGGTGGATTTGTCAGTAAGAATGCAAAACCTCAATTACGCAGTAATTCACATGATGTCTCCTCAGCAGAACCTCAGATTGCACAAGCAAAATCAATGTTTGCAATATGCAAGAAATTCAGTCATCAGCTGCATAAGTTCGAAGTCAAACAGCGCCAATCATCCCCGTCCTGGGTTCATTTTTCCAGGTCTTTTTTATTGAGCTGTAATAATGCCACTTCAGCCATTATGGTGCTACAGAGTGTGTTTCTAGGTTGGCCTCTCTCACTCTTGCCTGGGGTTGCCAAATAGTGCTTGTTTAGGTAACCTCCTATTGGGCAAGGTTTCCCAAATAAGTCCAGCTCTTCTTCCTTACTGCTTGTATTGTTGTAGCTAGTTGTGCCCATTCTAGGATCTCTTCATTACTTCTTCTTAGTCCATTTTACTTTGAATATGTTACATATACATTTGCACTGAAAGATATTCAGTTTGCATTGGCTGGACTCTTCTTCATATAGGAGGATGCTTAGGATGTTGCTTTTAAAGAACTTAAGTTTGTTTTGCTAACCACATTGGATTTGAGACTTTTAAATACAACACTTGCTTAACCTTTTCTGGATTCTATTTCAAACATCACCAGTACTGGGATTGATGCTGCCTAGATTAGTAAACTTATTCACTGTTTTCAAGGCTTCACCTTTCAAGTACAGAAAATCATTGTAGGTAAATTAATTTTTATAACTTCCATCTTTGATTTAGAGATAAGACCTGTTTGCTTGGCAGAACTTGCAAGACCATCTGTCTTTGTCTGGCTATCTTCAGCTGTCTTATTTAGAAGACAGATGTCATCTGCAAAGTCTAAATCTCCAAGCTTGCCATTTATCCATGCAGTGCTCATTTTCATACTGACAATCTGTCACTTAAATTCAATAGCAACTCCAAACAAGATGAGGGACAAGATATTACTTTGTCTGACACCAATGTTAACATTAAACCAGTCTGTTAGCTCCTGGTTTATCTTTGCTTCACACTGTTTTGATGCAGGTTTTTAATAATTTGGATGCTTTTGTTGGAGACTCCATAGATTCATACTATTTACTATGATGGTTCTCTAGCTGCACAATCCAATGTTTTTTTTGGAAATCTACAAAATCAAGGTCACTGGCAGTTGCCATTCATTGCTTTGCTCTACAGTATTTCTCAGGATGAAGATTCAGTCAATGCAAAATTGATTTAAGTGAAAACCAGATTGTTCTCTAAGTTTGCTATGTATAGCTGCTCTATTTGGGTGATTGCACAGAATACTTTCTCTGGGGCTGAAGGCACCCAGTCCCGTGCCAGTTATTACCATCACTCAAATCTCCATTTTTGGGGAGTTTGATTATAATCCTCCTCTTCCATTCTTCTGGGGGGGGGAAGGGTGTTCTTTCTCCCATACCAAATGTAAGAGGCATAGCAGGATTTTCATGGTGACCTCTCCGCATGCCGTAAATAGCTCTGCTCTAATTTGATCTTCACCTGGTGATGCATTGTTGTTTTAATCTTTCAGTGGCTACTTTTAAGTTCATTCAGAGTAACTTCAACTAGTAACTAGTTTAATCAAAGTTCCTACAAGTCTGCACTGATGCCCCCACAGGATCTATGCTGTGAGGTTAAATGGTTGCATGTTCCAATTGTATTACCTACTTTTAAAGATTTTGTATCTTTGTTTCTTCTAGGGTGACTTAAGAGAGCCAAAAGCATAAGATGTGTTTACATTGTACTTGGCCTTGTATTTGTAAGGGCAGGGACCTGTTAATTATTCAGGACAGATGCTTTCACAGAGATATGTTTGCTCGTTTATATAGTGTAGAGTGACTAGTAATATTCAGTTGTTCACATTGGCATCCAGAAGTTGGCTAGCACAGTGATGGGCTCTTTACAAATGCTGTTAGACCTAATTCTGCAAGAGGGTTGGTTCTGATGGACTCTAACCCCACAGTCCAGGGGTTTTCTTAGCATACAATGTGCACTTGATTCCCAATCTTCTAGTGGTGCTGCTGTTGCTGCTCCTCTGCTTCCTAACCAGCCTTGAAATGATGAGTGCAAGGGCCCACAGGAGGTTGCTGCTTCACCCAGGTTCTACACCAGGCACAGACTGTACCAGCTGCTGTTTTCTGTCAAGATTCTGCTCCTCAAGGACTAATTACCCCGCTGGAGTTTCCTTAGGCAGCAGCATGTTTCTCTGGATATTTGACTAAAGCAGAGATTCCTACAAAGCAAAAAAGGGAGAGAAATAAGGTGGGACTCCAGAAACTCGTAATAACTGCTAGCCCAAGCCATGCTCTTAGTAGCTTTGAAGATGGGTCATGTTTCTCCTGAACTACCTGCTATTAACAATCTGCAGAAGTGTTGTATCCCAGTCATGGGAGGGCCTGTACAGCTAAGATGCTTCATGCGGCGATTCCTGTGGGATAGATTAAACATTGTGGGTAATCAGAAGGCCTCCCATTTTAATTAAGGCTGGGACACATCAGAGGTAATCCTCCATCGACTATTTCTTAACCACTTCTACAAATAATCCCCTTTTGTTTGCACCATTGCCATGAATCTCCTTCTTCGGGACTGAAGTCCTGCTCTTATCCAGGCCTAGGAGAAGGTTATACGCTGAATCGTGGACCCAATTTGAATTAAATGGCTTTGCATTCTGATTGCCCACAATCCTCTATTACCTCAGACCTCTTGCTTGGACTAGTCCTGACAAATACACATCTAACCAAGTAAGTAAGCTATTTCCCATTTGTATCCCTAAGACCTCTCTGTTTTCTCATATTCCATAGGTTTTAAAAGACCATGGCCAGCAGTTTCTTGTTGGTAACAAATTTAGCTGGGCGGATGTCCATCTGCTTGAGGCCATTTTAATGACAGAAGAGTGCAAGCCTGATATACTCTCCCCATTCCCTCAGTTACAGGTAACTGAATCGCCTGAGCTCACCAAGGAACATACACTTATATTCAGACTCCGATGCCCAGTGTAAAGTATTGATATTTAAGCCCTTGGAGCCACTGCAGCACTTGAGCTCTCGTTATTCTCAGTGGGAGATGCTGTGGAAAGAGTAGAGCTGCTCAGAACATTTTCAGCAAAAAAACCTGCATTGAAGCCAAAATGCTGAATAGAGATGTTTCAGTTTTGATGAAGACTGTTTTTTAGAGGTAAACACTCTCGTGCACTGGCCTGGGATGTGGAAGACCCAGGTTCAAGTCCTTGCTTTGACCAACTCAAAGCAGAGCAAGGACTTGAATCTGGGTCTTCTAGGTCCTAGGCTGGTGCCCAAATCACTGTGCTGTCACACCCTGTTGCTCCCCAAATTGAAAACAGACATTAACGCCATTTCATTTGCGTGAACACCAGTCTGGAACAAAATAAATTTTGAAACCTTGAAAGTTGGTCCAAAAAAGAAAGGTCATCCTCTGGCCAGCTCTAGTACTGACCTGTGAAATCTGGCCACAAATAGCTACCAATTGTTTTGTGTCCTTTTTTTTTTTTCTCATGCAAATTTTTTGTTAAATACACTGTGCATTTTAATCTCTGAAGCTGAATATCATTTCCTTACTCTCAAAGGCTTTTTACTGCTTCTTCTTTTAGGCTTTTAAAGGAAGAATAAGCAACATCCCCACAATTAAGAAATTCTTGCAGCCTGGTAGCCAAAGGAAACCACCAGCAGATGACAAGTTCATTGCACAGGTGAAGAAAATATTCAACATCTAATCTATGTGATTACTAAAAATCACTGCACCTACAGTATAGTAGCTCAGCCATGCTTAATATAGCTGTAAACTTCACATAACTCAAACATTCTATGGCCTGAGCTATACAGGAAGTCACATTAGATGATAATGGGCTCTTCTGGCTTTAGTCTGTGAAACTGGATTTGAAAGTTTTTAGCATGTTAAATGCTAGCATGCCGAAACATAACTCTTTAAAAATGTCTCTGCAATAGCTATAACTAGATTACAATGAATTGTAGACTAGGGTAACTTGTTAAATAATCTTGTAATTGGAAGATACATTTACTTGAAATAAAACACTCATTACTTTCTGTTGGAGCTCATTTATTTATAACACATGTAGGTTAGTACGCATAGCTATACCTCTTAAAGTGCTTTAGAAAAGTGGGTGCACCCAATCCCTGATTCCCTCTCCATTTTCTTATCCGCTGGACCACGCTACCTCCATTAGTATTTCATGGCTGTTGGATTTTGATCACACCGGTACTCCTAGCCAACAATGTCCTTGAAAGCTTTTCATACAGATTCTAAAACCTTTTCTGCTGCATGAAATACTTCCCATACACAAGAAAATATGCCGAGCTCAGTAATTGGTATTTTGTAAGCAGAAATGAAAAACCATTTGAATCTCTGAAGTTTTCAAAATTTGGGTTAAACTCTCATTTAAAATGTTTTGTTCGCTAACATACCAAACTAATGAAATAAATCACATGATTGACAGGGCCGGTGCAAGGATATTTTGCACCCTAGGCGAAACTTCCACCTTGCGCCTCCCACCCCCACCCCTC